TTTTTCTTGTGAAGTTTCAGAGCGCTACTTTTACGATGCTAATGTTGGTAGATGTTAAGGCCGTGGAATTTAATCGAAATCTTATCGAATCATTGGCATAGGCATTATCTCATCTCATTTCCACTTTTACAGGCCCTTCTAGCGGACGGACATGATCCAGCGACGTATTTGTTTCGCGTGAACGAGCCTGTAGTACCATCAGACACAAACGCGAAACAGATGTCGCCTTCAGCCACACCAATGGACACTGACGGCGAAGGCACTTTGCATATTTGTACGTTTATTTCTTTTTCTAAACATTTTGAACTCTTCTTGTCTATTATATCTGCTTCACTTCGAAACCGATTGTCATCAGGGATGAGTGAGACCACATGTTCCGTAATCCACGTCCTAGGGAGTTTCACTGGTTCTTAGCAGGGAGCTTGAATATATGCTTTATAAACGTTTGTGAATATTTGAAAGGTGTAGGTATTTGCAGGATCTTTCGGTAACATTTTTTTTTGCTAACGATCTCTTTGCAAAAATAGAAACTACTGTGCTACTTTTTTCATAGATAAAGTGAAAGTCAAGGTGGGCTGGGCCTTCTTGGTTGGTTTTTTTTTGTAAGAGTTAAATCGATTCTGATTTTTGTGCTGACCTTCGCTTTGCCCTATTAACACTTTACTTCCAAGTGTGTTTCTGCTCATCCCTGGTTCTCTGCCTTGCCCAGAACTAATTCATGTCAGAGAAGTCATTTCAGAATCGCTACTAATAAAGGCTATAAGTTCCGTCATCTTGCCCTATCGATTACTCCTTAAGAGATTGTTTTGTTTTCCAAACACTTTCCTTGAACCAAACATTCAGCAGTTCTTAGTCCGTGAGGGAAATTACAATGTTTTTTTTTNTTTTTTTTTGCGTTTAGCTGAGAATGGCAATGCTGAGGGTGATAGTCACGAGACTTCGGCCCAGATGGAAACCGATGCAGCACCTACGACGAAAGACAATGATAAGAAAGTCAATGAATTGAATGATAGCAAAGAGCTGATCATAGATGACCAGAATACGGGTGCCGCAGCGACCAACGACGAGGAGATGCTTGAGGACCCGCTCGTCGACGTACCGGCTGAAACAACGCCGGCTCCTGCTAAATCAGCTGATAACAAAATTACAGCACAACCATCTGTTAAGACTCCTGTGCAGGCTCCTGCTAACGATGACAAGGAGAAGGACGTGGCGTCGCGTTCGATTTGGGTTCGCGGTCTCACGTCAGCCACCAAAGCCGCCGATCTTAAGGTTCGAATATATCAGTCTCAATTGTCATTGTGCATTTTGTTGTCAGTGAAAATCGGTGTACTGCATGCCGCATTGAATTTTGTTACCAACGTTTGCAGGTGTTATGTACACAATACGGCAAAGTCGT